GGGGGGGGGGGGGGGGGGGGGGGAGTCTTTACACAGGCTATCAATCTTCGGCGTCAAAAGGGTATAGCGGTACTCACGTTACCGGTAAATGACAATCTACATACATGTACATGTAACTTACATTGTTTATTATATTCCCTGCCTCACTCAATTATTATCAGAAGCTTGCAGGCTATGCCTGGACATTAATTATTAACTGATTATTAATTAATGATGGTTTATTAAAATACACATGGTGGCATAAAAACTATTAATTACAATGCGCTTACATAAGTTACAACTAAAAATAAAATTACATTTGTTTCAGAGGGACTGAGATTATAGGCTATTTATAAGATATTTACAATTCAGATATAGATAAAGGACAATACTAGAAATAACTAGACTCGTAAGATTAGTTAGTTTTCGCCATTGCTGGGAAAAAACTAGAACCGAAGCGTTTTGTTCTATATTGGAAGAGGCTAGAACTGCTACTGTTTCTAAGAAGGTAAGAGTAGCATTTGGATCGCACGGGAGATAGAAGGCGGTGCAGCTGGCCATCCGGGTTATTTTTTATATTGTGCCACACTTTAAGACACAGGTTTTGAGTGGACAAATGGTCATGATCTTGCATTTTTTAGGGTTGAGGTTCATGTTGTTCTGCTGGTCCCATTGCGAAATGCAGTTGATGTCGTTCTGCAGAGATGACGCCTCCCCCAAACTGGTGACCTCAGATATTGTAACGTCATTGACGTACTTCCAGTGGCTCGAGCGGAGGGGGGAGCGAATGGCCAGGTCATTAATCATTATCAAAAAGAGGATTGGACCCAATTTGGTGCCCTGGGGGACACCAGCATCTACGGGCATCCACTCTGAGATGGAGTCCAAGAGCTTAACGGCCTGGCGGCGACCACTGAGGAAGCTGCATATCCAACTGATCAACCAACCTCTAACACCTAGATGGATTAGCTTGGTCACCAAGATGGTGAAAGGACAACATAAGAATAACACCATCAAATTTACGCGTGAATGAAAGAGGTCGGTGACGTGACATGAGCAAGAGCAAGGAACCCTGTAAAAACTAAAATTACCGTACAGGCGGGAGTATATAAATGTTTACTACCATTCATTTGTTTCTCATATGGCGTATACGTAAGCGTCTTAGTAACATGTTATGCATATAGAGTTTCAATCACCACAGCGTCCGGTTTCCTTAAATATAGCTCGTAGTTTTCCGATGTAGGAGTCCACCGTTTTGAATGCCAGGCCATTAGGGCATTTACACTTGGCTGTACTTTAGAGGTGGGAGTCGGAACACCCATCACTATGGACTATCGTTTCACCATGCCGGTCTTTCCAGGCCAAGAAACGATTAATATCCGTAGGGCTTGCTGAAAGGATTGTTTTACTATTCGGAAGGGATGCCAAGAATTTTCTGAACTCTGTGCGAAGCGAACACTTCTGCTTTGAGTATGTTGACTGTAGGGAGGCACTTTTAAGTTGTTCTAAACGGTTATCTATGGCTTGAAGGTCGACTAAAATTTTAGAAGTCGGAACATTTTGGGAATTCCTTTTCCTCCGGTAGCCGCACATTTGGCAAAAAAGGAACAGATCGTTGTTAGGGTAGCTGCACGAGGGACATGACACAGCCGGAACAAACGCTCGCACAGCGAAAGGTAGGTCTTAAAGAAATCAAAAGAAAAGGAGAGATATAATTATAAATGCGATAATAAAATCGCATTTATAACTCTCAACCGACATTCTAGTCAAGAATGATTTATTCACAACATTCATTTCAATAGTTTATACATAACAGGAAATTATGAATCGGACAGGAGAGGTATATCCAAAAACAGTTAAATGTCCTTTGCTCGCCGAGTGCAGTAGCTACTCCTGTCCAGTGCGGAAAACCCAGAGATCCAAAGGGATAGGCCAATGGTTTGAAAACCCATTTCTGGAGGGCGTGAGGAGAGCTCCAACGGTTCCGGCAATGGCTGAAAGGTGTCGCGCCGAACATGTAGACGTTAACAAGGGCCGCCAAAAATGCCTTGGGCATACGTCGGGAATCACGATGGTGTAGGATAGTTGCAAGCTTCGTAGATACTGGATAGCGTGAGGTATAAGGCTGATCGGTGGAAACACGTAAAAGTTCTTAAATATGGACACATCATAAAGATCAGGTGACTGCGCGAATACGTTTACTCCCAGGGATCCAGGCAGAAGAGTCTCAGAGAAAAACGGTAACTGAGCACCTGACAAGTCGGATTGAGCGTTTGAGGGACGCGCCATTAAGTCGACAGAGTGTCCATCCTCGCCGCCATACAATTCTTGTACGACTACCCATAAGGATGGGCATAATTTAGTGTCCTGCAGGGTAAGGCGTCGCGAGGGGGGATCGGCTTGGTTCTGAAAACTAGGCACAAACGTAAGGTGCAAATCGATAACTAGTTTCGTTATCGTGCTAAACAGTTTCTTCAAGGCGTCTGAAAGCAAGTGAGAACGGGAGCCCTGCCGGGTCCATGAAAGGACCAGAACCATGCTGTCGACGAAGGCGTCGACCCATGAGTTTTTAATGGAATCCGCGAATGACTCAAGGACGTTGTTTAGAGCCAAGGTCTCTTTTGTAGCGATATCGGCCTGTATTGCCGAGGCATCCCAGTAATCATAGACGTTCACCTCAATAGCATTTGGGCTAAGAGCACCTCCCCAAGCAACGTGAGATGAGTCGCAGAATAGCTTAACGTGTGTGTGCTTTTCAGACCGCCAGGGAAGAAAGCCGTCCCAAGACTCAAGAAAGAGCCAGTGTTCAATTTCTTTCTTCAGAGCTGGAGACATTTTCACCGGCCGCGAAGAGCGAGTAGCCCCAGAGACAGCTAGGTTAATTTCGTTAACATAAAGCCTCGCGCCTGGAGCAGCCAGACTTATGGACGTGCATTTATCGCTGAGCCTCTGCAGAGTTAATAGATCTGAGCAATCGCGAGGCAAAATTTCTTTGACGAGTCGAATAAACTTTTCCTTTTCATGTGGCAACAAAATAAACGCCTGTCGTTCTGAATCGATAATGAACCCAAGGTAGGGCACCTGCTTTTGAGGGGTGAGTACAGACTTGGCCAGGCCGATGAAGTAGCAGAGGGAAGTTTAGACGTAGTACGTGAGGAAAATACCCGCGCGGGCCAGAGCAAAATTCACTTCATCCGTTGACGCGAGGGCTCGATCAGTTGGCCATTATGGTGATCGTCAATGTACAACAAAGAAGGAATGTTCCACGAACGAAGCCTATGTGAAGCGACAAGACCAGTTGTATGATAGACATATGAGGAAGATTTCCAGCCAAAAGGGTTACACTCACTCACAAAGTACCAGCTAGCATCCCCATTGGAAACCAAAGTAGGTTCGACTGCTGGGGTGAAGTTTTATGTGATAGTATTTTGACTTGTCGTCACACACTGTCTGGTAAAAGCCTTTATGAACATACTTAGGCAAATGTTGGACACTATCCAGGGAAGATGGATGGTCTTCAAACCAAAGATTAAGAAATCTGTCATCGTTACAGAGACGCGGTTTGCTGGGCTCTACAGTGAGGGGTAAAACGAGGTGAGGTCGGGTGCATTCTCCGACTTTACCCCACGGGGAAGTAGCCTCGGTCCATAAGCGTATTAGATATAAACGAGGTAAACGGTTTGCATGAAATGTGATTGGGGAGAACACAACGCAGTGGAGTACTGCACTCGTAATTCTTTCCTTTGTAACTACCCTTAAACGGTATAAAAAACTTGGTTACATCCACACCATTAGTAATCCAATCATGGACTTCGGAGAAGCGATCGTCGTTGAGATCATTTAATAACGAAAGCCATCGTGGTGTATGGCGATGAAGTTCCCCTGTCCGAAAGTGATTTGGATCACAGAAAACAAGACGTGACATATCTGCTAATGACTCTCCTTGTGACACTAGGGCGATGTCCTCAACAGGGATATGGGCATTGTTTGCCATCCCCTGGGCCCCAACAATAACAGATCCATTCATGTCTATCCACTGCAATTCATCATTCGTAGTAACTGTTTCCGGTTTGAAACGAGGACATTTTCCCAGTTATGAAAGAAAGGGGTCGCAAACTAGCATCAAAAGAAAAAAAAAGAGTGGAAGTTATAAGGGCCCAAGGGATGGCAAACTCGGCCCCGGTAATCCGAGAGGGAAAGTGACCTTCCCTTTGAGAATGCCACCCGAGGGGGAGAAGCAGGGAATAGAAATGGAAAATTATCCGACTGCAAATAATAAAGGTGCGGAATACGTTGGCAAAATTAAACCCTCTACCACCACAATAAGAAGAGTGAGTTCAGAAGACTCGTAAGTTAACCTAACCTAGGAGGGAGGGGGAATACAAAAAGAAAACACACGTTGTAATGTTGTTCGCTTGACTTTAAAACATCAAAACTCATCTTACTGAGGCCGGTCGGGGTTGACTGTGACCTGGGTGGCCAGGAGAAAAGTTGCGGGCCGCCGGAACTCTCTTCCAGCATTGAGTAGACTTGTGGCCGGGGGTTCCGCACCTATAGCACGTTACCCGTGGGTAAGGGGAAGACCGCAGATTGCCTCTGGCCTGTGTACGAAAGTATGGCGTAGGACGTCTAAACGACTTCTCAACTTTAAAGATGGTATCAAAGATCCTTGTATACTCCTTATCTGCCAGAAGAGCCAGAAAGTAAGCCTTAAATTCCTCTTTCGGGACATGGATTTTTTTCCTGAGGGCGGTTGCGATGATGTCATAACTGGCCGCTTTGGTGTCGATGGTAGTCTTCGCCACAGAAACGAGTTCTTCTGCAAGGCGTAAAGCTTCGTATTTGTCAAAATCCTCTAATCTACGGGCACCGTAGTTGGTTATGTGGCTAATTAATGCATGAACAGAGGTCCCTTGAGCATTCTCTAAGAACCTAATCCTCTCTTGCAAAGCCTGAGTGTAAAGATAAAATAAACAGAGAGTAAATTAAATAAGTTGCCTATGAAGCGCCCATTACCAAACAACACCGCTATATATTAACCGCGAGCGACGTTAAGGGAACATTGTCAAACCATAGACAATCTTATATATTTTATCTTCACTTAAACCTGTGTCGATAGGGGCATTTGCATTTTCTAGGTACAACAAGAACGCATTTTTCCCCGACGTGTCGGAAGCAACAGTAGACAGAACAATAGCAGGTAAAACCATTCATTGACAAGTACAACAATGATTTGTAAAAAAAAGCGCTTCGAGCAAACACTAGGGAATGGAAAATAAAAATAAAAACAATTCAAAAACGAAGAATACGCTTCACTTGTTCTGAGGCAAAACTCAAAACGAAATAGGCAAAGAAACTCAAAACTGCCCACAAGGCAGCGCAGTTACACGATATTAGCAGGACATAAAATAAATGGTAACAGTATCCATAAAAGTAGAAAGCGACTTGACCTTGAAGCAGGACGCAATAGAAGCTGCACACGAGTTAAAATCGTCCAGAAAACAACCAAGCGAAGGCAATAAACCGGGCATAATATAAACTGGAGAGTCTGGCTAAAATTTCCGACAAAGCTAAATGCTATAGGCTTAAGCAGGTCATAATATGTTACAGAACAACTATCAACAGGGCATACAATAACTGGAAAGTCGAACCAAAATGAATCTGGGAAAATTTCGTAATAAAGCCCCTTAAAAACTGCCCGCAACGCAAAGACAAACGTTGCCAAAGGCACTTGCCCGCTAAACTAGAAAGTTACACGTTCTAAAGCAGGACAAAAGAGCAGTTGCCCGCAAAACTACACACCACCAACAGAGAGCAAAATAACTGGAGAATCAATTCAAAATTTCCCGGAAAGCCAGAAAGCTACACACTTAAAAGCAGGGAATAAAATCAACTTTAAAGGAACTCAAAATTGCCCGCAAACTTCATGTTATCAGCAGAGCATAAAATAACTGAAAAGTCAATAAAGGATTGCCCACAAAGCCAGGAAGCTACACGTTTTAAAGCCGCGCCTGGCGCAACATGAACTGTAAACAAACTTTAAATTGCCCGCAAAACAACACGTTATCAGCAGGGCACAAAATACTTGGAAAGTCAATAAAGCATTGCCCGCACAGCTAGGAAGCTAAACGTTTTGAAGCAGGGCTCGACATACAATGTAAACGAACTTTAAATTGCCCGCAAAAATTATACGTTAGCAGCAGGGCATATTAACATGGAAATGAACAGTGAGTAAAGTAGAATAAGATTGCCCGCAGAGCGAGAAAGCTACAGGCGTTGTGAAGCAGGGCGTAACACGAGCTGGAAATAGGCTTGAATTGCCCTCAAAACTACACGTTGTATAATCCAATTAAAGATTGCCTCCAAAGCTACAAAACAACACGTTTTGAGGCAGGGTAGAAAGTGGACTGTACAATTTAACATTGGCCGCAAAAGAAATAAGCGCTGTATATGTATATGAACGGCAAAACATAAACCTGAGAGGTAATTTAACTTCGTCTGCAAAACAGTTACTATTAAACTATACGTTACAAAGCAGGGCATCACAACACGAGATGAAAATGAACTAAAAGCGGCAATGAAGACAAGTGTTCGCGAAGCAAAACAGAGTTAAGACAAAAAACAACAAAATTAAACAGACCTCTAGACCTCTTCTGCCGCGGCGTTTCGTGGATTAGCAGGCGGTTCCTCCGGGTTCTGTGGAGGTGGAGGCGGTGGCTTGTTTAAAACTGCTGCTGCTTGAGCCGCTTGAAGGTTTTGGTCCGCCGGGACTTGGACTTCACCGTCTGCCATTTTAACTAAACCGCTTCGCAAGATCGATAGAATGGCATTATTTATTCCGTCTCATCTCCTTTTATACGTGAGAGGTGAGACCGCTGAGATTTATAGAGGGAACATTGTATATAATACTCACATAAGAGAAGACTCTGGGAAGACCGCGTGCACGTCCGCTGCGAACCTGAACCAGAACCTTTCAAAGTATATAGCAGTCGCTGAGGAGTCATACCCATTTTTGATTCGTGATAAAAACAACATCTACGTGTTCAGACAAACCGCAGAGTTGAAGTGTACTTTTGTAAGATCGTAACAAACAGTAAAATCAAGCGCATTGAAGCTCACAGCAACCGCCGGTTCAATAATTTGAAATGAGCAAAGGACAAAGGACGGTTTGTTTATCACCTGCATTTGTCACATCACCGCGGCGCGAAGTCGAGAGTCGCGCGTGACATCTCAGAAATAATATGCCATGCATGTGCGCAATAATCTATGAGGGAAAGATAACCATATATCGGAGTTTATTCAGATCTGAGCGTTGTTTCTTGATGCAATATCTACGAGGTAAGAGCTTAGCTTGGATAGTTTATTTATTATGTAATTTCTAGGGCTTATTTTAGATAAACTTGGTTGACCGCGTGTACCCGGTTCTCGGCCCGCGGCTTCCGCTGTTTGTGAAAAATTTCTATATGAAATTAAAAATGCGATTTTAAGAAGTTTCTTTAAAAAAAAAAAAAATATGGAATGTCCCGTAACTGCATTAATTGAATCACGGCTAGAATCTACGAGGAGATTTTCGCAGAGAGCTTGCAGGTAATGAACATTGAGGAACGGATTGATCTTTTATCGGCACACTGTCACAGTTACGTGTTGTCAGTCAAAGCTAAAATCTTTTCCGAATTTTCTTCTCTTTTTTCAATTTCTTTTTGATTTGCTAAGAGATTTAAGTTTTCGCTCAGCTTCGAACTTTGTGGAGAGAAGAACCCGGTCCACAATATGTGGCAGCTTGTTTTGAGTCATTTATGAGTTCGTGACACGATGAAGGCTTAAAAATTAACTTTGTGCAATTGTTACTTTTATTGCTGGTTTTCAGTGTCACGCCATTCAAAATAGATCAAAATAAAAATCAAAACCATTCAATAGATAAACTCTAGAATCTGGGAAATGAGAGGAGGTAAATATACAAAGACCCTCGCCAAGATTTGGGTCGAAGGAATTATTCGTATCCGAGATATCCGAGGAAATGTTTTACCCAAATTTATAGAGCTTTGTATAGAGACGCCATGCTAGAGCTCATCCGGATGAGCTCCAACATGGGGGACGGAAACCAACAGAAAAATCTGTTACCGAGTTTTTCTACAAAAGCATGAATTTACTCCTAGAGGAACTCATAAACATTAACGTAATAGTTTTTCTAATACTTGAACCGTTTAGATAGCAAAATTCCTCAAAAAAAGTCACTTTTTTTAACCTAAATGGCAGCTCTCTCGGCCGTCATGTAAATGCTGCGTCACGCAAAAGCTTAGAAATTCAAGCGTACTCTATTACAAAACCAAGAAACCTTTTGAAGCGAAAATTTGTTTGAAAATTAGTTTTCAGCCGCTCTAATACACCATGAAAGTAAAATCTCAGTAGGATGGATAGTTTTGTAGTTTGAATTTTAGTGACGTCATGTGAAAACCAACAATAGTCTGAGTATAAGTATTCCAAAATACATTACAATATTGCACCTCAATAATAATAAGTAAGAAGTACCCTTTTTTAAGGTATTTAAAGTAAGGTTAGCACTTGATGTATTTAGGCAGACTTTAAATAGTTTATAATCTAATCAGAGCGTTGTGTGCCCAAAATATAATTCAAATAGACCTCAAAACAGTGTTTAAGCACCCTATTCAAAAGTATTTAAAATGCGGTCACTACTTAAGGTCTTGAAACATATTTCAAATAGTCTATTTGAAATCTGTTTGTAACTTTGTGGGTGTACCCGTCTCAAAATACGTTTTAGATACAACTCAAAACAGTGTTAAAGTACCCTGGCCTATTTAAAAGTATTTAAATACGGCCAGCATTTAGCCTGTTAAAACATATTTCAAATAGTCTATTTGAACTATGCTTGTAACTTTGTGAGTGGATGCGTCTCAAAATACATTTTAGATACAACTCAAAACAGTGTTAAAGTACCCTATTTAAAAGTATTTAAAATACAGTCAGCATTTAAGCCCTTAAAACATATTTCAAATAGTCTGTTTGAAC